AGGCCACCCTGAGGAGGTGCGGGCTTGTGCAGTCAGCAGTGACAAGGGAACAGACCCAGCTCTGTGGGCCACAGCTGCATCCGGGTCACAGATGCCTTTCTGATAACTTAAATATTGAGATTCTACACATTTACCAAATCTGAGAGTTTGCAGACATTCAGGTGCCCTGGCCCACCCAGGATGGGTTAAATCAGAATTCTCAGGAATGAGCCTGGCAGAGGAAGTGCAGTTAGCCCTCACGCGCAATGCATCAGGGACCTTCCTAACCAGCTAAGAAGCATCATGCTAGATAGTGACTAAGTTCTGAGTGGTACTGGGGGCCTGGGATCATCCGGGGCAGTGTTGCAAACTGGTCACACTGATCTTCACCAAGCCTCATCGTGGGAGGCCACCACCTACCGGGTTGATGGCCACCACCGAGCCGTCATAGGTCCAGGTGCCCAGCTTCATGCTGCAGTTCTGTTCATCAAAGGGAAAGTGCGTGACGATGATCTCACAGTAGCTCTTAAAGATGGCTGGAGGTGTCCAGGTGATGTGGCCTGTGTAGTCCAGGAGCACTTTGGTGAACTTGACAATGGCGAAGTCACCATCAGCACTACAGTGGGGCAAGAGAGGGAAATGTGTCCAAGCGACAGATGAGCCTTGGGGACAGTCACAGGATACAGCTGTTAGGTATTCCAGTGCTATTTATAGAAGCTTTAGGCAGTCTTTTGTGTCTATGGCAACACTTGTCTGATACTAAGAATCATTGGGGTGCTTGTTAAAAATATAAGTTCCTGAGCCTCAGCTAGGGGTGAGCCCTGGGTCACAATATCAGGGGAAGAACACAGGCGACTACAGTTTTAAAGAAATAACGCATAACTTGGGTCTGACGTGTCCTGCTATTTTCCCCCCTAGTCTGCTGTGGTATTTGAAATATTAATCTCCATCTGTCCACATGTCCTACTCCTGTCCCTCTCCTTCAATTACTTTGAGAGTTAACTGGGGAAAATCAGGAAATTAAAAAAAAAAAAAAACACTTCTGATGGCTCAAGCAGGCTAGGGAAGGGGGTGGGCGTTTGGCAAAGTGGTGAAGACATCGCTTGGGACCCCAGTGCCCCCAGTTGGAGTGACTGGGTTCAAGTCCTGGTTCTGTTCCTGGTTCCAGCCTCCTGCTTACGCACACCCTGGGAGGCAGCAGGTGATGGCTCAAGTAGTTGGGCCTCTGCCAACCCTGTGGGAGATTAGAATAGGGCTCCTGGCTCCTGGCTCCTGGCTCCTGGCTCCTGGCTCCTGGCTCCTGGCTCCTGGCTCCTGGCTTTGGCCTGGCCCAGCTCCAACACTTGCAGGCATTTGAGGAGTGAACCAGTAGGTGGAAAATCTCCCTGTCTCTCTGTCTTGCAAACTGTTTAGAACTCAGTGGAATGGGGTTGCAGACTCAGATGCCTCCAGGCCAGCAGGTGGGGAGGGAGTGCAGGTGAAAGGTGAACAGAGCCCCTCTCTCCTCTCAGGAAGAAGCCCCATGAGGAGCTGCCCAGGGCATGCACAGCAACAGGGAAGGCCCAGTGTGCTGTCAGATACTACAATTCTTCCTCAGAAACTAGACATCTGGATTTTTTTTTGGTAATAAAACATTTTCAGATTTTTGATTATTGGATTTTTCTAGATTTCCATGTGATATTTCCTGATTCCTCAAGGTTGGCAATAATTGTGCATTAAAAAGAAAACCATGGCCTGTGCTAAGAAAATCACAAGCACCTGTTCCTGGGGGCTTATTCAGGGGCAGTTTGCTCTTCCCTAAGCAGCCTGGGTCAGGGGCGGGCAGGGGGCAGTGCAGGGGCCTGCGGGGACGGAATGCGTATTGATCTGTCCTGTCATCAATCACGAGGTTTTCCTCCCACTGGTATGCCCTTGGGATTGAAGGGGGGGGGCGGGTCTTGATTCAGAAACCTTTTGACATGAGCCCCCCAGAAAGAGCCCAAAGAGCCCAAGAGAGCAGAGGCCCTGGGGTCATCCGAGTCTCTCCCCGTAAGCAGGTCTAACAGAGAGCTCCATCAGGCTGACCCTCAGGGCACCTGCCCTAAAGGACCACAGGACGCTAACCACTTCCCTCAGATTCCTGCTGAAAGGGAAACTCAGCACCAGATCCTCTGATCTCACAGCGCATTTTCCCAAAAGGTGAATGGATCATCTGACTCAAGCTCCAAGTCCAAATGCAATTGGACCAAAGATGGTAGAAAGTCAGAGCAAGGGAGGGCTCTCCCACCAGGCTCTTGGCTTTCTTTCCCAGCCCCGCCTGCCCCCCTGCGCAGTCTGCGAGTGCACGCCGGCCGGCACGCATGCGTGTTGTGCAGTGTCAGACCATAAATCCCCGGCCGCGGCCGCGCTCCTGCCTGGGAAGGAGGAAGGTTGGCATGAATGTTCCCTGACAAATGAAGGGCGTATGATAATGAACGTGTTGTTAAACCAGAGTCTTTAATCGCGTCATGATTTCACAACATGCAGTCTGTCATGGCGACACAGACGTCCGGGCGATCGGGGGGTGACACGAGGGACAGTCCTGCAAGGCTCGGCCCTTTTGGTGGAGAGGACGTCTCTGACCCCCAGGGACCCAGAAGCTGGGGTGCTGCAGATGGTTGCCACGCACCCTCCAGGAGCTCTCCGGGGATGAACTGACCCCACCCACAGCCCTGATTCAGTCTGGCTCCAGGAATTGTTTCTGTTTGTAACATGAGGCGCCCTAGGGCTTCTTCAGCCCGTGAGCGTGCCTCTGCCTTTGGGAGGGTCACTTCGTGTTAGCAGGACCGAGACGCAGCCCCTGTGTGCAGCCCTCCCGCGAGGGCGTCCGGCACCGTCTGTCCTGGAGCCCCGCTCCCCGGCCTGTCCCTGTCCCCTTTCGCTTACTTGTTGTAGAGAACCAGGTCCGGGCGCCAGATCTTTTCGGAGGGAACGTGGATTTTTTTCACGCCGCCGTAGTCCTCTGGATTCCATTTGAGGTTGTAATCCACCCATTGCTAGAAGTGATGACAGTTAGCCCATTACACAGCCAAAAGACAAAAAGCTGGGGTTATCCAGCACCCTGCTGGGCCTGGACGTTCAGATATTGACAGCAATTGTGCCTTGTAGGGAAAGTGTGATTCAGAATTCAGCTTTGACTTTAGACAAATAATAACAGCAAACATGGGCACCAACTGCATGCAGACACTGTGGTAAGGGCTTTCCCGATGGTAACTCATTTGGTCACAATGAGCTTGTAAGCATGATTCCTGTACCCATTTTACACGTGTGGAAACACAGTTACCCCAAGTCATGTGGCTGGGAGGTGACGGTCTGCCAAGCTACACTGTCCATGCCAGGAAAGGGGAAGGACCCACCATTGAAAAAGTAGCCTATGGGGGCCGGCGCTGTGGTGCAGCAGGTTAATGCCCTGGCCTGAAGCACCGGCATCCCATATGGGTGCTGGTTGGAGACCTGGCTGCTCCTCTTTTGATCCAGCTCTCTGCTATGGCCTGGTAAAGCAGTACAGGATGGCCCAAGTCCTTGGGCCCCTGCACCCACATGGGGGACCCAGAAGAAGCTTCTGGCTCCTGGCTTCGGATCGGTGCAGCTCTGGCCGTTGCAACCATCTGGGTAGTGAACCAGCAGGTGGAAGACCTCTCTCTCTGTCTCTACCTCTCTCTGTAACTCTCAAATAAATAAAATAAATCTTTAAAAAAAAGAAAAAGAAAAATAGTCTTATGGACTTTCCTGTATTACAAAACTAATACTTATGTAGGTCCAGGGCAGCAAGTGTGAATGCCCCTGAGAATCCCTACGCTGCAGTCAGAGCGCGACCTGATTTGGAGACAGGAGTTTCGCAGAGAAGATGAAGTTCAAATAAGGCCGTTATGCTAGGTCCTAATCCAAGATGACTGGTGTCTTCATTAGAAGGGGAAATTCAGAAACAAATATATGTAAGACATGTATGAAAGGTACACACGGAGAGGGAGAGAGAGAGAGAGAGCACAAGGCAGAGAGAGAGCTCACACACACAAGAAGAAAGCCACGTGAGCAGAAAAATGGCACTCTGCAAGCCAACAGCGGAGCCTGGGACAGATGCCTCCCTCCCAGCCCTCGGGAGGAAGCAGCCTGCCCATGCCCCGACTTTGGGCTTCCAGCTCCTGGACTATGGAAAGAGAAATTGCTGTGTTTAATCTACCCAGTTTGCAGTCCCTTGATACGGCAGCCTCAGCCGACTAGCGCGCGCGCACACACACACACACACACACACACACAGGCCCCACATTCCTTCTGGCGCAAAATGCCTGCTTTCAGCATTTTGGAAGATGTCTCTGTTACCTGAATTGACTTCCTCTGGGCCCAGGTGGAGTTTCAAGGCGAAGATGAACAGGGCAATGATGGGGCTGACTTACCTGTTTGAGACGAACGTTGGTTGTCACGATCTGATTCACTTCGTCCTGAAAGGAGAGCGGGGCCCCCTGTTTAGGGGCTCGGGAGGTGCCCGGGGAGAGGGAGGAGGGTGCCACGGGGAGCCCCGGTGCGTCTCACCACATTGATGAGCTGGATGAGCTGCAGGCCCACGGTGACCTCCACGACCTGGCGGTGGTCTGCCACGGGCCGCACCACGTTGCTGTAGTCTTCAAATAGCTTTGCCACCAGGCGGGTCTCGTGTTCGGAGCCCAGGACGAGGCCAGCTGAGAGAGTGAATGACACATGCCCGTGAGACTCTGACCCCACTCTCTGTGTGCACCAGCATGAGAAATCGAGAGGCGGTCAGTGAGCTGCCGCCAGGGCGGAAGGAGGCTGCCTTCGTCCCTTCCCCAGCACCCTGGCTGCTGTGGTTTCCACCGGGGGGCAGCAGGCAGGGTAGATTATCTCCACACTTGCACCTGGATGGGGGGCATTGCCTAACACAGCCCCTGGCCGAGCCAGGTTTACCAGGAACACACACACACACACACACACAACCAGAGAGACCACAGAGATTCCTGTCTCAGGTCTGGTCATGGTGTAATGAAATCTTGGACCAGCTGGCTTCAGATCCCAGGATGCCACAAATACTCACAAACTGGTGCTGGTTTGCCCCAGCAGGATGGCCATTGTTAAGAGAATGACAAAGAACCCGTGCTGGTGAGCGGGACAAATTGCAGCCTCACGCGTGGCTGGAGGGAATGCAAAGTGGCAGCTCCCCGACAAGTTGAACACAGTCACTGCGGGACCTGCCAGTCCACCCCTGGGTACACACCCTAGAGAACAGCAGCACCATTCGCAGTGGCAGAGAAGTGGAAGGCGCTCAAACACCCATCAGCAGATAAAGGGATGCACACATCTGCCACAGCTGAACGATGGAATACTACTCAGCCTTGAAAAGGGAATGAAGTACTCTGATACATGAAATGTAGGAACCATGAAAGTGTTACGCTAAGTGAGAGAAGCCAGACACAAAGGGGGCACTTGTTGTAGGATTTCATTCATTTGAACCAGGCAGGACAGATCATCCATGGAGACAGAACACAGATTGGGGGTTTCCAGGGGCTGAGGGGAGGGGAGAATGGGAGTGACTGTGGCAGGGGTGTGAGGTTTCCTTTTAGGGTGATGAAAAACTTCTGGAACTAGACAGTGATGGTGACCATTTAACACTGAGACCATGCTTACTGCCTCTCCATTGTATGCTTCAAAGCCTTATGTAATGTATATTTTACTATATATTTTTTTTAAAAAATGACCACTTGTGGGTACATGTCCCAGCTAAGTTTTTAAAACTGAGTGAAAACCCTGTGCTTGGCTGGGTTTGGGGCTCTTATTTGGGTCTCTCATGCAGGTGCAGGACCCAAGCGCTTGGGCCATCCTCCACTGCCCTCCCGGGCCACAACAGAGAGCTGGACTGGAAGAGAAGCAACCGGAACTAGAACCAGGTGCCCCAACCGGGACTAGAACCCGGGGTGCCGGCGCCACAGGTGGAGGATTAGCCTAGTGAGCCGCGGCGCCGGCCTCCAGGGACTCTACTTCATTTTCCATTGCAGAGAGAGCAGAATCACCAAAGGCCGCCTGTTCTGTCCAGTGTGCTCTGTGACCCTGACCAGCCTCAGGGGAGGCAGGCAGCAGAAATTCTCCGCACTCGTCCCAGGCCATGTGGCTGGATGGACACAGCGCGGCTGCAATGCTCTCGTTCTGCACGGTTTCCTGCACTGATGCTTCATGGGAGGAGCGCTGCGTGCACCGCTGTTTCCGGGAGGGGGAGGGGGATGTGTTCCACAGCCCGGCCAGAGGCTTGGGAAGGATCTGTGTGCCGCAAGCCTGTGGGCCGGCGGCTGCCTGTTCCGGTTTGGGAGAGGAAGCGGACACACGAGCCCATCCGTTTGTCCTGATCCCGGTAACAAGATCTCCCCTTACCGCAGGTCACCACTGGGGCCAGCCCAGCTTCTCCCTGGGCGGAGAAGACCGAGGGAGCGGGATGGGTGGTTTCCTTTGTGCCCAGTGGTGTTAACTGGCTGCTGCTGAGTTGTCATTTTGCTTTGCTGTCTTTCTCTGTGGGTACTAAGTTTGGAAGTGCTTGTCAAGGAAATAGTTACTGAGGAAAATCAGTTAGTTTATGTGTTTTTTATTAAGCAATAAAAGGAATTCGCTAACTTCTGGGTTTGTTCTGTACTGGCGCTCTTGTGGCTTGCTAACTCGTCCCGTCTCACACTGGGTGAGGCGGGCACTGTGATGGTGGCCACCTTACAGAGGAGCAAGCGGGTGCACAAAGAGCTGAAGTGACTCTCCCAGGCTTCCTAAGCCAGACTCCAAGCTCTCAACCACCGTTTCTCATCCAGGACTTTGGATCATCGACATTATGCAACAAAGTGATGCATTGGTGTCTCTCCAAAAGTGTGCGCATTTTAATGATCTCGTCTTAGTGAGTCCCTACAATGATCCCCGGGGCTAAGTTTTCATCTCTTCTTTAGAAATGGGAAGACCGAGGTTTGGAGCTAGCGGGGTGTTCATGGCTCCCCTGCTCCTTAGAAGTGGGGTTATCTACGGAGGCAAGGTGCCCGCTCCCAGAAGGTAAATGTGTCATTGCCATTCAGGGGTTGGAAGATTTCAATGTAGCTTAAATATCTTCCTTGTTACCTTCATGGGCTCCCATGTCGGGAGCTCCTTACCCAGCCTCCCTCCTCCTTTCTAGTTTCCCAAGTTTTCTGAACCCAGAAGGCTCCAAGGGCAGCCAAGGTGCCGGCTATACTGAGCTCTCGCAGGGCCTGAAACCGAAGCTGCCGCCTGCACCCGACCACCCCTCAGGGGAGCGGGTTGTTCAAAGACGGTTTTCACAGTTGTCTTGGTGAGCCCCCAGCACAGGGCAGCCCCTCTGTCCTCCATTGCTGTGTGCATCCTGGGCCCGTCTGCTCCACAGTGGAGGCTGGGGCCTGGGGGCTGGGCCCTGGAGTGGCCAGAGTGCCTCGGCTACTGCTTTGGCACTGCGCTGGGCCGTTTATTTTTAAATGACTGTTTATTCCAGTTTGACAGGAAGAACATACTAGAAAGCAATGGATAGAACCGATGGTCAGCACTGTATAGCAGAAGTCTGCAGGCCAGCCCTAGAGTGCACCGAGGAGAAGCGAAGCGGGCATGGCCAACATTCCAGCAACGTCCACCCCTCCTCTCCCGTCCTAGCCAATATCAGGGGCCTTGCTCCTTCTGGAAGGGATTTCTAAGGGATACTCAAGGAAGTCTCCGCTTCTTAGATTTGCCTCATTGGCATTCTTCTCTTTGTTCTTCCCTCCCCTAGGCAGGGTAGGGCTACAGGAAACCTACAGAATGTGAAGTCAGAATTCTACGGTTCCTTCCCAACTCCAGTAGGAAGTGGAGAGTTGGAGTAGTTTCTGCCCAGATTCCCTGGGTCGCAGTAAATGAACTCAGGTAAGAAGGCAGGGTAAATAACTCAGCAGACAAAGCGATACCAACGTCTCCCTTTTTAGCAGCATTGTACTGGAGCCCATGGGAACGTGGCATTTTTGTTGAGCACTGGCTGTGTGCACACATGGTTTTAGGAGCCTTGAGGAACTCAGCCACAATTTCAACGCCTGTTTTTGTGCTGTGCTGGTTCTGTCTGTATGTGTGTGTAGGGATAAGCCCCCTGGTGGATTGGACAAAAGGGACTTTGAATTGTTCCCGGAGACCTTGGGTGATTCTCTTCTCAGCTGGATGCTGTGGCCGCTTCAGGCTGTGCTGTGTGACCGTGCGTGCAGCAGTCCGAGTCTCCAGCATTCATGACTGAGGCGACCTTGGGCAGGTCAGCTCACGATTTTTTAGCCACGGTTTTCTTATAATAAAAAAATGGAGAAGGTGGGACTGCCTGATGTAACTTTACATTTCTGTGAGTCACTCACAGGAATCAGAACCAGCAAATTCTAGATTCCATCTCAATGCACACGACAGCGTGCACCCGGGGCAGGGTCCCGTGAGCCCTATCACTCATGTTTCTACGGAAGCACAGCTTTCAGAATTCTGAAATTCTGGTGGTGGTAGTGGGGGGGGGGGGTTGGTTTGCTTTGTTGCATCGAGTCCAAATCCCCCCTGATATAATAATTTATCTGAGTTTAGGTGATCTCCAGTCTGCTATTGGAAAACACATGAATAATAAAGTCCTTTATCTCTTGCCCAGGCCTGTGTTTGTCAGGAATCTCAGGGAAGAGAGAGACCACAGGCTGTGGCCCCCCTCTTTGTCAGTAAACTCTTCTAAGAAGCAGCCAGCAAGCATGTCCTGTTTTCCTCACCGGAAGTTTGGGATTCAGGGTAGTGTTTCAGCTGCTGTGCTGTGACACATTCCAGAGCAGAATGCGGGTCAAGGGCTGGCAAGGTTCATGGTTTCAATTCCAACCCAAAGTTATATATAGTCATGCACTTATTAAAAAAAAAAGGAAGAAGCCAGCAGGAATGCATTCCTTTAGACTTTTGTTTTTAACATCAGAAGTTTAAAAAAAATTACAAAACTATCTCCTCTCGATGGGGAGTTCCGTTCCCGCTGCAGCACACGCAGCTGTCACTCAACCCTCGTTGTTGTCAGAGTGCTCCGGGAGCAGTGAAAGAACCTAACCGCCTTGTCCACGATTTTCTGTCCCTGCTCGAGGGCCCAGCAGCCGCTCAGCTAGGAAGGCAGCTCCAGGTGCCCCTGTGCACGACAAGTGTCCCGGATACTGGAGGCACGGAGCCTCCAGGCAGCCGGGTTGGATACTGCGCCCCAGTGGCGGCACAGGCCAGGATGACAACCTTGGAGCTTCTCACCAGACCGCTCTTATTTTAACTGAGGAACACAGACTAAAAATCTGTATCCGAAAATCCAGTCCAGCCATCAGGAAGACACTGGCAGAGGCACCTGTGGCTGGTGAGGCGCTGCTATTCTGTGTTCCCATCAGAGGCAAGACTTTGGCCTCCATAGGGCTCCCCCCTCTCACCCCTCTGTTCCCCCAACCCTAGCACTCACCTGAGCAGAGGCCGAGCAGCAGGAGGAGAGGCCGGGGCTCCATGGGTGGCGGGCGCGGGCCTGGACTGCAGCGGCACGGTGACCAGTGCTGTTCACTGGCTCTCGCTGGCCAGACACTTGGCCGCTAGAGGCTTGGGGAAGTGAGCTATTGTCTTACAGCACCTGTCTGTGGGCACGACAGCTGGGCTGCCTCAGCGCTGCAGCCCAGGAAGTCGCTCGGCGGTGCACACTGCCACACGTGTGCCTCATTCTACGCGACAGCCGTGCCCTTGGCAAGCTGAGTGTGGTTATGTTGTGGGGCTACTTCAAAAGTTCATGGAAATGGAATTAAAAGATAAGTTTATTTTTGTGCAAAAAGATTCTGAACCCCATGCAGTTTTTTCATATGTATTTCTGTGAGCTTTTTTTTTTTTTTTTTTTTTTTTTACGATCCTGGCTATGCATGGATTTCAACGATTAACTTTGGAAGTACCCTTGTCTAACTGCACCATGCATTAAGTCTTCAGAAAACACTCAGGGTAGGAGAGCGTTTACCTGAATGCTGAGCAGTCCTCTCCCTCTCCTGAGTGGGTTGATTTGATTAGGGTCATTTGTTCTGAATTGATAACTATTTATGTTTAGATGCTGATCATCCTAAATCACAAAGCCCACTTTTACGAACATGAAAGTCTATTTCCTCAGATTCAGGGTTTGGTTGAGAGTGCCTGCAGCTCTCGGGACTGCATGTGTTTGGGAAGTGTGTGGTTGGTGCTGAATCCACTGCTGGGGACTTTGTATTTGACTGGGCTTGGCTTCCAACAAAGATGGCGTCTCCCATACAAGTGGTCCTACTGCTCGGGTGGGGTGGCTGTTCAACCCTGAGCTCGGTATCAGGCAGTGCCTGGCCCCCGCGTGCTGTGAGCTGGAGCCCAGTGCCCACCACCTCTGTTATTCAAGTGAAAAATACTAACTGGGTAGAGGATCCCACTGCACCAGCAGGTGCTCCCGATTCCTGTTCCCTTCCATTCATTCCTCTGCCCACTTTCACTCTCGGGAGTGAGGAGCAGAATGGCTCAGCTTTTTAAATTCCTTTCTTCAAAAACGTCCTAACAACCAGCATTTAGTCATTACTCAGTGAAGAAGGATTTTTACCCAAATTGAATTTCTTCTTTTTTTTTTTCCAAAGATTTATTTATTTATTTGAAGCAGAGTTACAGAGAGGCAGAGGGAGAGAGAAAGAGAGAAACAGAGAGAGGTCTTCTATCTGCTAGTTCACTCTCACTCCCAGATGGCCTCATTGGCTGGAGCTGCGCCAATCCGAAGCCAGGAGCCAGGAACTTCTTCTGGGTCTCCCATATGGATGCAGGAGCCCAGGGACTTGGGCCATCTTCCACTGCTTTCCCAGGCCATAGCCGAGAGCCAGATCAGAAGTGGAGCAGCCAGTAGTCAAACTGGCGCCCATATGGGATTCCGGCACTGTAGATGGTGGCTTTACCCGCTATGCCACAGTGCCGGCCCCAAAACTGATTTTCTTACAAGATTTGAAATGGATTCACAGCAGGCAGGAGCTAAAGACCCCAGCTTGACCCTCCTGTGTCTCCTTCCCAGATTGGATCAAGTGAGGCAGGTCTCTCATTTCAAATCTGAGGACGGCATCCTGCCAAATCCCTCATTCCAATGGGTCCCATTCAAAAATTAGAGAAGGAACTGGGAGGGCAGAAGAGAAAGAGCCACAAGGTCATGGTACATGTCTATGTTTTTCTGTTCAAATTGCAGGAGATCATTGGTTAACTGCTTAGATCTGGGCCTCTCTCTTCCATAGCTTAGCCCCGTGACTGGCCCGATAGGAAATACAAGCCCCAGCCCATTTTTCTAAGTGGAGCCATGTGACGAGTTCTGGTCAATGAGACATGAGGAGACAGTTTCTCAGACCTACAGACTCGGATCCAGCCAGTGATCACTTGTCCTTGCCGGCTGCCTGGCTGGAAGGGACAGGGCCCAGAGCAGCCTTGGAAACCACATAGTGAACATGACTTTGCCTTGGACACTATGGACTCTTGAATGACCGCATGGAGGAGGACACCCCATGACCTGGCCCCCACTCAGCACCACTGCAAGAGAGGACAAAGCACTTACTGTGTGAAGCCATTGAAATTCTTGGGCAAGGGGCTAGCGCTGTGGCACAGCGGGTAAAGCCGCCACCTGCAGTGCCAGCATCCCATAGGGGCACTGGTTCGAGTTCCCGGCTGCTCCACTTCCGATCCAGCTCTCTGCTGTGGCCTAGGAAAGCAGTGGAAGATGGCCCAAGTCCTTGGGCCCCTTCACCCACGTGGGAGACCTGGAAGAAGCTCCTGGCTCCTGGCTTCGGATTTGCCCAGCTCTGGCCATCGCAGCCATCTGGGGAGTGAACCAGCACATGGAAGACCTCTCTCTCTGCCTCTCTGCCTCTTTGTAACTCTGCCTTTCAAACAAATAAAATAAATCTTTTCTTTAAAAGAAGAATAGAATGAGCCCTGAAATGTGCAGCCTTCCGCTTTGAACCCCGATGAGCAAGTGATAACATAGCAAAGGGGTTTGAGAAAGGAAAGCCCGTGAGGCTTCCTCAGCAAACGTCAGTGCAGGGGTTCTTTCTTCACTCCCAGCCTATGTCTGTCTTTCAGATGGCTTCAAGATGGTGGCCATTAAATTGAAGGAGAGAGGAATAGGGATTAGGAGGCAAAGAAATAGATCAGCTAGAGAAACATGACTCGCAGGGAACCTATGTGTGCCTCCTGGTGTGTGGAAGTGACCAGAAGCAGATATTTCACACACTTACATGTACTTGCAGGGTTCATGAACCCACACCAACAAAAAGCTATGGTTGTTGAAGGCTTAAATCGGTCTTTGCCCAAACATGTACTAGCAGATAGAAGCCTACAAATTCTCCACAGTCCCCATTGCACCCCTCAGATGTGGCCGTGGAGGGTAATGATGAGGGAAGGCCATCCCAGGGATGGAAGACCATCTCTGTGGACAGGGACCACAGAGAACAGTGGACATGGGTGTGGATTAAAGAAATCTGTTCCTAAGCCGGCGCCGCGGCTCTCTAGGCTAATCCTCCACCTAGCGGCGCCAGCACACGGGGTTCTAGTTCCGGTCAGGGCGCCGGATTCTGTCCCGGTTGCCCCTCTTCCAGGCCAGCTCTCTGCTGTGGCCTGGGAGTGCAGTGGAGGATGGCCCAGGTGCTTGGGCCCTGCACCCCATGGGAGACCAGGAGGAGCACCTGGCTCCTGGCTTCGGATCAGCGCGGTGCACCGGCCACAGCGCGCCAGCCGCGGCGGCCATTGGAGGGTGAACCAACGGCAAAGGAAGACCTTTCTCTCTGTCACTCTCTCTCACTGTCCACTCTGCCTGTCAAAAAAAAAAAAAAAAAAGAATCTGTTCCTGACCCTCTCAGTGCCCGCACAGGTCCCCGTGGCATTCACGTCTACTCTGAGAAAACAGCTGGCTGCCAACACCCGCAGCCCTCGGCCTCAGGGAATCCCCACCACCACCACCACTGTAGGAATGCCTGGGACAAGACTGAAGTCCAGATGTGTTACTGCCTCCAGGAATGGCCCTCAACCAGCCCGAGAGGACAAACACCCCAGCTTCCTCTCCTCCCGGCGGGGCAGCTCCCACTCACGCTCTCCACTGCCCCTCAGGGGTCCTCAGTGGATCCTGGTGGAAACAGCTCGTAGCCCTCCCCTTGTTAGCCTCCTTCTCTGTCTCCTCTCCCTACTCTGCCGCATCTCAGGTAAACTCCTTACACGGTCAGCTTCCGGGGGCCTCAAGTCAAGACAGTTCTCCCACTTCCTGGCAGGCGAGCTCAGAACACTGCTCCTGGGTTCTCTCCCCCGCATTTCCACCTCTCACCAAATCTAGAGGTGAACGCCTGAAACTGAAGATTAAAAAATACTTTACTAAAATCGCTATTATCCACAGAAGTGAAACTACTGTTATGAAAGTTTATTCAAATAATTCAAATTTATGATAGAAAAATTAGGGGAAAAATGATCAAAAAGAAAAATGTTGGGGCCATTGCCTGCAGTGCCAGCATCCCCTATGGCCACTGGTTCGAGTCCCAGGTGCTCAACTTCTTATCCAGCTCCCTTCTGAAGAGCCTGGGAAAGCAGCTGAGGACTTGGGTCCCAGCACTCACATGGGGGATCCAGATGAAGCTCCTGGCTCCTGGCTTCAGCCTGGAGAAACCATCTGGTGAGTGAACTGACAGATGGAATCTCTCTCTCTCTCTCTCTCTCTCTGTGTGTGTGCATGTGTAACTCAGCCTTTCTAATAAGTAAAATAAATCTTTAATAAAATGAAAATTTTTACCCATATATCCATAGGTTTTTTAAGATTTTATTTATTTATTTGAGAGGTAAAGTTACAGACAGTGAGAGGGAGAGACAGAGAGGAAGGTCTTCCTTCCATTAGTTCACTCCCCAAATGGCTGCAATGGCTGGAGCTGTGCCGATCCAAAACCAGGAGTCAGGTCCTTCTTCCCGGCATCCCACGCAGGTGCCGGGGCCCAAGCACTTGGGCCATCTTCTACTGCTTTCCCAGGCCACAGCAGAGAGCTGGATTGGAAGAGGGGCAGCCAGGACTAGAACCGGTGCCCATATGGGATGCCAGCGCCGTAGGTGGAGGAGAAACCTACTGCGCCACAGAGGCGGCCCCTATATATCCATAGTTAATGGCTTATATCTGTTCAAATTCTTTCCATGCATTCATTAAAAAAATTGTTTCATTGGGTTTTGCTATGTACCAAGCACTGACCTACATTTGTGGGATACATCAATGACCAAAACAAAGGTTCCTCTTCCTCAGGAAAATTGCATTCTAATTTGGAGAAGATGGACAATAAAAACATATATGTATATATAGTGAGTAAGTCCACTGCCGAATGCCGTAGGCGGAAAGGGGCGAAGAGCAGGGTAGGGGATCATCTGGGAAGATTGCACGGTGAGGAGGCGGGGCTCTGCTGCAGGTGTGGCATTTGAGCAAAGACTTGACGGGGGGGGGGGGGGCACAGGAAGGAAGCCAGTGAGGCTGGAGCAGCCCAGGGAAGAGGGACACCGCGCCTGTCGCGTGTCGTAGACTTGCTCCCTGTGAGGGGAGCCTCGGCAGGACTGTGAGATGAGCAGTGACTGATCTGTCACAAGCTGGCAAAGGACAGCCTTGGCAGCTCTGGTGACCAGAGGGGAG